GTATATATATGTATATATATGTATATATATGTATATAAATATATATAAATATATATATATATCATATCACATATTTCCATGTTACTACCAGGAGCAGGGCAAAGAACAAACCTGATTCAGCGTGTCTGGGGCCGTCGGGGTCCCGGTGCATGAGAGCTTAAAGGTCAGTACGCTGGGTCTGGTGAGTGCTTCTGTCTGCACTACTAGACTGACAGGCCCAACTGCAGGCAACACCCCGTGAGTGCGATGCCCGGGAATAAGCACTGTAAAGAAATGCCAATGCATGGGTCAACCCGCTTGTGCAATAACGCCCAATCGAGTAGTATCCGCACGAACATTTCCCACGAATTATAATAGGGCGGATTTCAAAATCAAATTGAAACGCATTGTTATCTCTGATACAAGTGACATGCACGTGGTGGGTAGACTGCTGAGGTAGTGGTCGATTTTGTATGCCATGGCTCAACAGAATACATGCTCCGATTTCAAGGCAGACCAGAGTACCATATGGTAGCAACCTCCCGTGAGAGAGAACGTTGGTCCAATATGCACTTGTTCTTTTGTGAACTATTCCCAAGTGGGAGTCACGTGCCTAGCGACGCAATATGAGGGCTCCTCTGAGCAACAGCATGATAGATACCTGTGGTAATCTCATGAAGAAGAGACACACCCGCTACACTAGACATATATCGAGAACATCCCAAGCATAGGAGGGGAGAGACAGTGTCGTGGTACAAAACGGTACAAAACGAGAAAACATTGCACAACTACAGAATGGACTATAAACACACCGGTCAAGGGCAGAGGTTTAGTAGGCATGGGCGCACATTAGATGATTCACAGAGAAGGTGTGCCTGTCATGCCGCACAAACATACTAGAACTAAACAACTACCTGTGCGTGTATCGGCGGTGCTGCCCACGCTCATGTCCAGTGTTGTGGGCATGTCTGACACATCGATATCGAAAGCCAGTTCCGAATCGATAAGGGAGATGGCGTTTGACGGTTTACATTCCATTCTGAGAAACACAAGGGAGCGCACAGGACAGTCACTACCGGCCAAAACACATACATATCGTTGTCACCAGTATTTCGAGAAAAATAAAACACAGGAATCGATAAGGTTCTCGGCAGTGTAGAATAGTTCGTGTTCGCAGTACCGAACTATAGAAACTATATAGGGATAGCGTCTAACTCGTGAGGGGCCCTGTGAATGGAGGTACGCCCATGTGCACCCCACTATCGATCCGTTGGCTGATTTGGCTTGAGATGCACAGACTTGAATTCAATTCCTCTGGATGAGCCTATGAGAGTGCATGTTAACAGTAGCACAACCCAAAGGGCAAAACCGTCCACATCATGCTCACATATGAGGCTGTCTATGGCTGTATGTAGACATGCACATACATGGTGTGATAATCATACACGTATATATATATCATCTTTGGAATAAGAGTCTATCTATGATTACATTCGGACATACATATAGGTTCATGCATACGGACATACATATAGGTTCATGTATACTAAGTCATAGGCACTTACACTTCTAATTCGCATTTTTTGTCCGCGAACACCACGTCCACGACGCTGCCCACGCCCAGCGTCTGGTGCTTCCTTAGCTCAAACTCCAGCAGTGACCGCACCATGGCGGTTGGGATGCGTTGCCATGACAACATATCGAGGGCTTTGAACTTTGCAAACGTGCCGCTAGGTAGCGAAACGGACTTTAGTTCAACCATGTCACCACTACGAACCCCAAGACGCGCCTGTAACGAATCGGCAGTATAATGAGAGGACTAGCAATTCGAGCTAAGAGATATAAAAAGACATGGTATGTATTACACCCTAAGCTCCCCACTATTGCGGGTGTGCAGCACAACCTTATACTGCAGAGAGTGTCTCACGGGATCGTTTGACAGCCTTGGATATCCTTGTGACCAACGACCTGTTCACGACTCTGCCATATGCACAGAGGAGAAACCCATGCATGACTCTCGATATGTAACACACTACACAGCCAGATACAGTCGGCTGTTGAGCATCGCAGCCCACCTAACGTAGTAACTCGAGCACGTCACCGGGTAAGAGTCAGCCACATCAATAGAGGAGTCATTGGGTGAGTGGTATACATGCTTTAGGTATGCCATCTCGAGAACGTAAACCTCTTTGACTTAGCCATGGAAGGTGCTAGCATAGAGCCAATGTTTGCAATACCACACCAACCGCGAACGCAAACTGCGCACAATGGCCCCTGACACTTCCAGTAGATACACGCTCGCCATCTCTCACTCGAATGGCAACAGAGGAACCGATGAGCCAACGAGAATCACAATGAACTCATAAGCACGGGTGCTCATACACACACACACACACACACACACACCTATCACCTACACACACACACACACACACACCTATCACCTACACACACATATCATCTACACACACTCACGCACACACACACCTATCACCTACACACAGGCACCATGGGCACACACACCTATCATCTACACACAGGCACCATGGGAATTGCCTGATGTGGAAGTGTATCTCTAGACACAATTGCCTACATACGAGCGAGAATTTGTGCAGCGGGGGCATATCCCCACTTAACCGGCTGTTCAGATCAAATTTTGAAACAGACTATGAATCACAAGTACCTATACACACACAGACACGAGTAAAACTATGAACCACAAGTTGGCAAATGCACACAAACACGGCTACAGCAACGGGAATACTCCCACTACCACCGACACACCTGCATCAAGGGCGTTAGCAGGACAGTGTTCTCTGGCGCAGTGAACTCCCACACACCTCCGTGAGTCATCTACAAAATATGAATGTGATTTGTATGGATATTATAATAAAATAACAACAAGTGGAAGGTAGCTTAAAATAACAACAACTGGAAGTTAGCTTGAGTAGACGTGTCGCATATGCGGGAGAATGAAAGGGCAGGGTATGAGGAAAAAGGGAAACGGTACATTCAGCGAGAAAAAGGCCAGAACAAAGATTGCTCCAGATGTAGGTTAACAATGGAGGCGTAAACAAAGGTACGAAGTATGAAACGGCCCAAATCTATTCTAGATACGAGTAAACTAAAAGTATAGTACCTATTCTTGATGAGTTATTTCAAGGTATAGCACCTATCCTAGAGATGAGTGAACTAAAGGCATAGTACGGCCGATTTATGAGCCACACACGTGTTTTTATCATGTTACGAGGAGCAAGGTTGTAGAATAAACCCTGCCTACCAGTACGTGATACGATCAATAGTCGCAACTGTATTCCCGCGTGGATTGGTTTATAATAGTGAATGGTCAGTTGACGTCCGGTGCTAGGGCTATGAACAGCACTGCCCGTCGCAGTGACCCCTGCCAGTACGGCTACACATACGCAGATGTACACAGATACACACTCTCACAGCCACACACAAATCAAGTCCTCAGACAACAAACGCACCACATTGCTACCCCTCTGGTTGATTTGAAACGTAAAAGGCGAGCTTATCTCCTTCGCCAAAGCTGTCATCAGCACGCTTTGTGGCAGAGACATCTTGTCGTTGCGCGTGCTGCGTTCGCTTTCATTGGCGTAGTCCCTGACACACAGTGTTATACGCAGAGGTGTGCCGATCTCAGAGTCAATGTCCAGCATCTCCGGGCCCTCTCCGTGGTCATAGTAACATGCGGAGCCTTTGCGACACTGACCCGCCTGTGATGCGATGCACAGTGAATGTGAGTGAGTCTGCATACATCAATTGCAACGAAGTATGCGTGCAGACGGTACAGATCAACAACGTGCACTTGAACCGATAACTTAGGGGTCAAAAGAGACCTGGTTGTCTGGATACGAAGATTCGAGTGCGACGGCGAGTGTGCGCAATGGATTCGAGTGTATATGGATGCAGCAGATACAAGAGAGGACGTACAGAGAAAATAGGAGAGAAATCAATGTGACAGTGGATGTGAGCCAAACAAGCATGTCTGTGCATATTCGAAAGAAACAAATATGTAATTTTAACATACGATATATCTAGCGTTCAATATCAAAGCACCGCGTCTACTCGCGAGAATATGCCACAAAACGCAATCATCGTAGAGTGGTGGTGCGCGCCGGTACGGTCATACATTGAATTTACTTTCGAGCAAGTACTGCCGTCGTCATAGTAAATGCGGACATTTATACACACCCCATAGTAAATGAAGACATTTATAAATATACCCTGAAGGAATATATACACAACAATCACTAAATACACCATAGTAAATGAAGGAATATATACACACCAACCACTAAATACACCATAGTAAATGAAGGGATATATACACACCAACCCCTAAATACACCATAGTAAATGAAGGAATATATACACACCAACCACCGAGAATGCATTCGCATCCCACAGCACATGATAATTTTCCGACTCGTTCATGCCTAGAGATATTCCACAGACTCTCTACGCAAAGCAGACGTATAGTTAGCTATACACCTGCGTTGCTTACAGACAAGCAATGCAGGCGTATTGCTAGCATCGTTATATGCATGCCACCGCTACCGTTGTCGAAGCAACGACATCTATACGTTACGAGTGCACATAAAAGGCTGGAAACTATCCCAGCACAAGCAGACGGATGGTTTGTTAAAGAATACCTGATACATAAGGCACATGCCATGTTGCTTGCGGAGCTTTTGCCTTCTAACATCGGCCTTGAGTTGCAAGAACATAGCATCCGCCTGTCGATTAGATGAGAAACCGGCATGAAGTATGAGAGTGTGTTTTGGGATGTATGAAGTTATTGGAATACAGCTAAAGCATGACACTATTAGTAAGAGATACAAATGACATATGTACGGCCCATATGTGCAAACGGCTATGAAACAAGGCAGTTATAAGACCGGTCATCACAAAAGTCATATCACACGCCACAAATATACGCTGAGTAAAACGTTGAAAATCCCACTCACTCCGACCGGTCTTCACGGCCTTATACATTT